TTCAATATATGTGTACACAACAATTAACTGAAAGTGTTGGGATGCCCAGACCAACTTTCCGCAAGCAGAGGAAGGTGACTTTGCTTGCGCTTCCAGAATGAATGAATCAGTGCATTCCTATAATGGAGAAGTGGTAGCCAGAGAATATGACGCAAATATTTATTGGTATTAATTTTCCCACATTTAGGTTGCCACAAGGACTGCACCTCTATAAAGAATGTTTTTTATTGAAGATAATTTGCTTCAATGGCTAAATAGAATCACACAACCTTAATAAAGTTAGGGAAGAAAACTTCAGGATCCCACAAAATAAGCATTTACATAGGCCCTTCTCTTTTGCAGGAGTTAGGATGCAAGACCACCATGAAAGTTGGAAGACTGCAAATATCTAAAATCTTCCCTCCTATTACTTAAAACTTTTGCTGTCTTTAGGAGCCTAGAGTTTCCTGATGTCTGCACCCATAGAGGGCCTGCCTTGGCCTATACAGCCCCTACTCTTTCTTAAATGCAATGTGGCACTGAGCAATATGGGAAAAACTGAGCACCACCGCCCCCCCCCCCCCCCCCCCCCCCCGAAACCAGATTATGTCCACTCTCTGTGTGCCACTGTCCTTGGTATAACTGTCGCCCAACATGTCAGGGCCAGCACCCCAGTTAGAATTTGTATGTGAGATCATTAGGTGACATAGGATATACCTCAGAGGAAGGATCTGGCAAAACTACCTCTGAGTATTTGTTGCCTAAGAAGACACTATGAAATTCGGGTCAATGAATGTTGACAGGCAACTTGAAGACAAGTACAACTGCGGATAAGTAGTTTTTCTAATATGGCATCCCACTAATGTAATTAATTATTGTGTAGTCCATTGTGAAATATTCTAAATGAACCAGATCCTGTCTGATTTTGGAAATTGAGCAGGGTCAGCCCTGGTTAGTGCTTGGATGGGAGACCACCAACTAACACCTGGTGTTGTAGGCCACATTCCAGACGAAGAAATTGGCGAAACCACCCCTGAATATATTCCTTGCCTAAGAAATCCCAATAAATTGTTAGGCCACTTGAAACGGCATACTGTGGAGAAGCAGGGTTTTTTTTTAATACAGTGCAACATTAATCTAATGAATTATTTTATAGTCCACTGTGAAATGACCTAAAGCAGAGCTTTCCAAACTGTGTGTTGTGATATGTTAGTCAGCTGCAGTGTGTAGGTGTGTTGCATGAACTTAAAGAGAAGCATCTGAGTCTATAAGAAATAAGCAATACTACTGAAACACGGAAGCTTAAAAAAGCTTGATGACAAAATGTGAGTGTCTTTATCAACTATTCCACCAAATATACAAAAGCCGCATTCATCTCATTAAAATGTGGAAAGAAAATGTCCATAAATCATGTATCACAAGAGTTGGCCTTCCCTAATTCTTCTAAGGCCCATTGGACACAGCTGTATAAAATCCACATTATCCGCTTTGAACTCTCCCACACAGCCATATAACTCAGAGTATCAAGGCAGATAAACCACAATATCTGCCTTGAAGTGGATTTTCTGAATCCACACTGCCACTGTTCAATATACAGCTGTGTAGAGGCCCTTCCACACAGAATATCAAGGCAGAAAATCCCACATTGTCTGAGTGTGGACCCAGATAATTCAGTTCAAGGCAGATATTGTGGGATTTTTTTGCCTTGATATTCTGGGATATAGGGCAGAGTGGAAGGGCTTGTAGGCCCCTTCCACACAGCTGTATAAAATCCACATTGAACTGGGTTATATGGCTGTGTGGAAAGGCCCCCAGTTCAAAGCTGATATTGTGGGATGTTTTGCCTTTATATTCTGGGATATGGGGCTGTGTGGAAGGGGCCTAAGTCTAAAGGTAAACACCACACCGACCACTGTAACGTTCTTGGGTAATGGACCCCTCCTTCTTCAAGAGCCCTGGTTCCCATTCATCTTGCAGGCCTCAGTTGAGGACTACCAAGTCCCCCTCCCTCCGACGACCAATGCCTTCCTGTTCCCGTCAAACCAACGCTGAACTTCCTGGAAGAGAAACCAATGGAGAGCCCCCCTTCCTTCCCTTTCGCCAGCGCGAGGCGTTGATTGGCGCCTTCCCTCGGCGCGAGCTCGCTTCCCTATTGGCCAGCCCGAGCGTCAACGTCACGGCGTGACCCGGCCGAGAAAAAGGAAGTGACCGCGCGCCAGGCTTGTGTAACACAGAACCTCCTTCTGCGGGTGGGGTCACCCACAAACCCTTCCCCACTCCCTTGCTTCTCGCCCAATCTCCAATTGTTAAAGGAGTGGTTGTTATTGGACTCTTCTTCCCTCCCAATCCAGCCAGTGCTGTCCTTCCTGCCTCTTCCCAAAAAGAGGACTCCAACTCCCAGAATCCCTCGCCGTTGGCCAACCTGGCTGAGACTTCTGGGAGTTGGAGTCCCACAAACGTAGAGGGCCAAAGGTTGGGGGAAAGGAATGCTTTGGAAGGCCTCTGCAGGGGAAGAGCAAGCCAGTTTCGAAGCAGGCCCTTCTACACTGTCCCCAGGATCTGATCCCAGGTTTTCTGCATTAAACATGATTATATGAGTCCCTACTGCCAGATGGGGTAAGCCTCTCAACAAAAGATTGCCCCAGGCACTGCCAGGCCTTCAAATGCTAATCAAGGTGGTCAGTTGAAACATTCACACCTAGCTCCAACAATGCAACCTGAGCACTGCCACATGCACGATGGAGGACATTTAATCAGCTACCAAGTTTGCAAAATTTGTGTGTGTTTTTTTATCTGTTTGTTTGTTTTGTTCTGTTAGAAATGTAATACAATGCTCTGGTTGCGGACGACACGATAAATAAAAATAAATAAGCTCCAACAGACAAGAGTTCCTTCTCCCACCCTGGTCATTCCACAGATATATAAACCCACTTTCCTAGTTCCAACAGACCTCACTACCTCTGAGGATGCTTGCCATAGATGCAGACGAAACATCAGGAGAAAATACCTCTAAAACATGGCCGAAAAAAAACCTACAACAACCCACAAACAGAAAAGCTGGGATCAGATACTGGGATACTGGGCCTGACTGGAAGGGCCCGGAGAGACTCAAATAATAATGCTAATCCAGGGCCCTTCCAGACAGCCCTCTATCCCAGAATATCAAGGCAGAAAATCCCACAATATCTCCTTTGAATTGGGTTATCTGAGTCCACACTCAGATAATGTGGGATCCTCTGCCTTGATATTCTGGGATATGGGGCTGTATGGAAGGATCACTAATGTAAGGGAAATAGCCCTTCCTGCCAGGTCCTATATCCCAGGAACTGATCCTTGGTTTTCTGTTTATACCAGATTATCTGGAAGTTGAGACTCATCACCTAAAACTTGGGATCTGATTCTGGGAGGTAAGGCCTGGCTGGAAGGGCCCTTGGAGAGGCCAACAACAAGGATCCATTGTTTTCTCTGGGAAGCTCAAAACAGTACAAATCCCTGAAATAACCCTACCACAATCCCACTTTGGCAAAGTCCACACTGAGCGCTTAACGCGGTTTCAAACCAGCATTGAAGAAAAGTGGGTTTTGCTGTGCTAGAGGATTCCAAAAGAAATGCTGGAACCACTTTGAAGCCTGGGGTGGTGATTGTACCAACCACAAATGCACATCCTTTGCAGGAATTTGGGTGCTTGGCTGTTTCAGTTTCGAACTGCTTTAAATGCCCAGAGTAGATGGCATCTGGGAGCTCCAGTAAAGGGAAGTTCGCTTTGGCCCATTGGCCTTTTCCTCTAAGGGCCCTTTCACGCTGCCTCTTTATCCCAGGATCTGATTCCAGATTATCTGTTTATCCCAGGTTATCTGGCAGTGGGGACTCATATATTCCAGTTTCAAGCAGATAATCTGGGATCGGATCCTGGGATAGAGAGGCGGTATGGAAGGGCCCTAAGGGCTCTACTACACTGTCCTTATATCCACTGTCCAAGGATCCGATCCCAGATTTTACGCTTGAAACTGGATTATATGTGTCTCCACTGCCAGATAATCTGGGTTCAGATTCTGAGATTAAGAGGCAGTGTGGAAGGGCCCTAAAGGCTCTACTACACTGTCCTTATATCCCAGGATCTGATCCCAGACTTTATGCTTGAAATTTGATTATATGAGTCTTCACTGCCAGATAATCTGGAATAAACAGATAATCTGGGATCGGATCCTAGGATAGGGAGGCGGTATGGAAGGGCCCTGAGGGCTCTTCTACACTGTCCTTATATCCAAGAATCCGATCCCAGATTTTATGCTTGAAACTGGATTACATGTGTCTCCACTGCCAGATAATCTGGAATAAACATAATCTGGGATCAGATCCTAGGATAGAGAGGAAGTGTGGAAGGGCCCAAAGGGCTCTGCTACACTGTCCTTATATCCCAGGACCTAATCCCAGATTTTATGATTTAAACTGGATTATATGAGTCTGCACTGCCAGATAATCTGGGATCAGATCCTGTGATAAAGAGGCAGTGTGGAAGGGCCCTAAGGGCTGTACTACACTGTCCTTATATCTCAGGATCTGATCCCAGACTTTATGCTTGAAACTTGATTATATGAGTCTCCACTGCCAGATAATCTGGGATAAACAGATAATCTGGGATCAGATCCTGGGATAGAAAGGAAATGTGGAAGGGCTCTACTACACTGTCCTTATATCCCAGGATCTGATCCCAGATTTTATGCTATATGAGTCTCCACTGCAAGATAATCTGGGACAAACAGAAAACCTGGGATCGGATCCTGGGCCTGCTTGGAAGGGCCTTGAGTCTATAGCCAACCCTAGCAGCCCAACCCTTTTCTTTCTTTCCAAATGCAAATCCAAAAGTGAAATTTAAAAATCCCTCTAGTTTTGATGGCAACCTTTGGAGATGCAAAGCAGTTGGCACGTGCTCCTACTGAGATATGGAAAGGAAAAATAATCAATCAATGTCTCCCTCGGCTTGCAAATTCCAAAAAGAATGGTTGTTTCTCTTTCCTTACCCGGAATGGTGTGCAAATATTCCTTCCTCAAGGTTGCCTCGGTTGCCAAGAGACGAGAAATGGAAAGGGAAAGAGGCGGCCGGGTTGGTTGGATGGCGGCGGGAGCAAAACTAAAAGTTAATTCCGCCTCGAGTGACTCCAGATCGAAAGCAAAACAAGGCGGGCGCCGGGCTTTGGGGGGAGCCAAACCCTTGGCTCGCCCCTCTTCCCTTCCTGGGCTCCTCGGGCTCCCCTTCCCTTTCCCCTTCTTCTCCTCCTTCTCCTCCTTCTTCTTCCCAGGCCTTGTTTGTGCGGGGAGGAGGAGGACGAGGAGGAGGAGGAGGAGGAGGGGAGAAAGAGGTGCGGAAGTTTGCCGCAGAAGCTCATTGGCAGCCGGCGCCGCTTTCATCATTTCTCCGAAAAGTCGATTTCATTTTCACTTCCCTCCAGCCAGAGAGAGAGAAACACAAGGGGAGGAAGAGGGAGGGGAAGCAGGGCGGAAAAGCCAGCCTCACTTCCCCTTTCCAGGAGGGAAAGCCAGCCTCCTCTGCTCTTCTCCCTCTTTCTTCTCTCCCTGCAATGGCATCGCCTGGGAGCGCCTTCCGGGTTCATCATTTCAGCAGCATGGGAGTTGTAGTTTGGCAAGGTCTTTCGCCTTTTTCTCCTCTCTGGTGCCCAGAATCCCTTCCAGCCTTGAGCCAGGGCACTTTCCAACTCCATTCTTCTACAATGCAGGGCCTACTGTCATTCCTATTACACTATAATGATATTGTTTTGCACTGTTTGTTTTATTTTGTTACTTATTTTGTTACTTTCTGTTATTTTGTGTTTAACTTGGCTGTATTATTGTTGGGCTTGGCCTCATGTTAGATGGTGGCAGGGTATAAATAAAATTTATTATTATTATATTGCTAGCCATCCCCTGCCACACATTGCTGTGGCCCAGTCTGTGTATATGTGTTTATGTGTGAGTATATATTTGTGTATATGTGTGTATATATTCGTGTATTTCGGTGTTTATATGTGTATGTGTATATTGTGTATATGTGTCCACTTAGAACAGTGTTTCTCAACCTGGGGGTCACGAAGGGGTGTCAGAGGGGTCGCCAAAGACCATCAGAAAACACAGTATTTTCTGATGGTCATAGGGATTCCATGTGGGAAGTTTGAGCCAATTCTATCATTGGTGGAGTTCGGAATGCTCTTTGATTGTAGGGAACTATAAATCCCAGCAACTACAACTCCCAAATGTCAAGGTCTATTTTCCCAAACTCCACCAGTGTTCACATTTGGGCATATTGAGTATTTGTGCCAAGTTTGGTCCAGATCCATCATTGTTTGAGTCCACAGTGCTCTCTGGATATAGGTGAACTACAACTCCCAAACTCAAGGTCAATGCCCACCAAACCCTTCCAGTGTTTTCTGTTGGTCATGGGAGTCCTGTGCGCCAAGTTTGGTTAATTCTATATTTGGTGGAGTTCAGAAAACTCTTTGAGTATAGCTGAACTATAAATCCCAGCAACTACAACTCCCAAATGACAAATAATTTCCCCCAACCCCACCAATATTCAAATTCAGGCGTTTCGGGTATTTGTGCCAAGTTTGGTCCACTGAATGAAAATACATCCTGCATATCAGATATTTACATTATGATTCATAATAATAGCAAAATTGCAGTTATAAAGTAGCAACAAAAACAATGTTATGTTTGGGGTTCACCACAACATGAGTAACTGTTTTAAGGGGTCGTGGCATTAGGAAGGTTGAGAAACACTGATTTAATCATAGAATCAAAGAGTTGGAAGAGACCTCATGGGCATCCAGTCCAACCCCCTGCCAAGAAGCAGGAATATTGCATTCAAAGCACCCCTGACAGATGGCCATCCAGCCTCTGTTTAAAAGCTTCCAAAGAAGGAGCCTCCACCACACTCTGGGGCAGAGAGTTCCACTGCTGAATGTCTCTCACTGACTTGTGTATATGCATATAGGTGTGTTGTTGTTGTTCATTTGTTCAGTCCTCTCCAACTCTTCGTGATTTCATGGAGCAGCCCATGCCAGAGCTCCCTGTCGGCTGTCACCTCCCGCAGCTCCTTCAGAGTCAAGCCAGTCACTTCAAGGATGCCATCCATCCTTCTTGCCCTTGGTCGGCCCCTCCTCCTTTTTCCTTCCATTTTCCCCAGCATCATTGTCTTCTCTAAGCTTTCCTGTCTCCTCATGATATGGATGAAGTACTTCATCTTGGCCTCTAATATCCTTCCTTCCAATGAGCAGTTGGGTTTTATTTCCTGAAGTATGGACTGGTTGGATCTTCTCGCTGTCCAAGGCAGTTTTTCTTCTTAAAATATCTTTGAAAATGAGTGTGTTGCACAACAAGCATACTGTGGTCCACCGAAAATCCCAGCTCTATGAAGTTGGATGATATACCTTCTTTATGTTGTTGTTGTTCATTCGTTCAGTCGTTTCCGACTCTTCGTGACCTCATGGACCAACCCACACCAGAGCTCCCTGTCGGCTGTCACCTCCCCCAGCTCCTTCAGAGTCAAGCCAGTCATTTCAAGGATGCCATCCATCCATCTTGCCCTTGGTCGGCCCCTCTTCCCCTTTCCTTCAATTTTCCCCAGCATCATTGTCTTCTCTAAGCTTTCCTGTCTTCTCATGTTGTGGCCAAAGTACTTCAACTTTGTCTCTAGTATCCTTCCTTCCAATGAGCAGTTGGGCTTTATTTCCTGATGTATGGACTGGTTGGATCTTCTCGCTGTCCAAGGCACTCTCAGCACTTTCCTCCATCACCACAGTTCAAAAGCATCTATCTTCCTTCGCGCAGCCTTCCCTTTGGTCCAGTTCTCACATCCATAGGTGACTATGGGGAATACCATTGCTTTAACTATGAGGATCTTTGTTGCCAATTTGATTCCCTACCCTTCACTATTTTATCAAGATTGGTCATTGCTCTCCTCCCAAGAAGTAAGCGTCTCCTGATTTCCTGG